TGGGCCGTCTCCCCATCCGTGTCCATTGTGAGTTTGTTAATCAAGGAGGGCGCGTAGCTCACCAGCCAAGGTATTATCTGATGGCTTTCACCAAACTCTGTCTTATACTTGGCATCTAAGGCGCTCTTTAACGGTCTGACCTGGCCCTGCACTGTCCTAACGGCTCTCTCAATTTCGCCGTTGGCCTTTGAGTCGCCTACTGGGCTAACTTCAACTCCCATGTCAAGATCACACGAAGCTTTAATCCTATTAGCCAGTGCCGTGATTGCCGCTTCCCCATCACTTTTGAGTATCACCTTCTTGTATCCGGTAAAACTTATCATGTCACATCCCACTTTTACCGAGTACGAGTCCACTCCCTTTTTCATCAACACTCTGCTCCAAGTTAATTTGGTCTCTCTGCAATGCATGGCCAAAATTGGATTGCCATTGCTGGTGCTTTCACCTTCATCCTTTCTTCCTTTAAGCCACATGTAGTCCATTGAAATCACTGGCGCGTTTCCGTTCCCCTCTCTGTTGCGTCTACGGTGATTGCGCCTGCGCGCTTTCCCTCTGGCGCAATGTGGGCACCAGCTTCGGTAAGGCAAATGCGTCGCGCCATGCGCTTCAACTTCCTCCTTCGAGGGCCTCATGTCGCAGTAAACTTTCTCTGGTAACTCCGCTTCATCACTCACAAATATATCTTCCACATCACTTAACTCACTCTCGTTGCCCCCACTTTCACTCCCTTCGTCTCCTTCGGTATTAAAGACGTTTAAGTTTTCGCTTGGTCTTACGGGCGATGGGGGGCTTAGTAGAACAGATCCGCCTCCAGGGTTCCCGGCCGCGGAAAACCCTCAGCAACGTTCACTTCACTCCTAGGGTTGACGGCCTCCGCTGGTCCCTTCGGTACCGTGATGTTGAACTGGAACGTGCCATTCTTCTCATGAGTGGTTGTGGACTTACCGGTCGCCTTGTTGATGATGTGGCTCAGGGATCTCCCGTTAGGATCCTTGTCGAACACCATTCTATTTCCAGCGTTTACCATCTCTCTGACAGATCCTAGGACTTTGTTGACCTCTGCTACCTGGATCGGCATACTGACAGCGTTCCCATGCTCATTTTTACCTGTGATCACTCGTTGACCATAATTCTTTATCGTGGTCCCATTTGCTGCACTGTAGTGTCGTCCCTGCTTTGACGCGTCCGTATGCGTAATAGGGAAATGAGTGCCAACTTTGGGGGGTCCCACCGTGTTGTATGCTCCGGAGTCCACGGTGACCACGATCGTCTCATGCGTTGCACTTGGTGGTGGCACCGCGTTAATCTCTGGATCACAGCCCCGCATCTCAATTCGCCCAATTTCCTTGCAATTCTCCAGCCAACTTTTTTCCTGCCTCACGCTTTTACTTATTCTCTGGTCCCATTGACTAGTATGATTACAGTCCCCGTCACACTGGTGTTCCTGATAAATCCTTTTCAAATTCATCGCGTTGTTACGCGCCGTTTTCTTTCTGGCGTAATAGGGCAGATCCCATTTCTCGTTAACCTCCTCAATTGCGGGCTGGTCTAGCGGCACGTTCATTGCTTCCCTCATCTCAACGCTGAGAACATGCTGCGGTTGGCCGAACGAGGTGGTTTGTTCACTCTCACTGTTCACTGCAGGTTTCTCATGCTCAACTTCGTTGGCGGTCTTCTTGGGGCCCGGACAGTTAATGGCGATATGCCCTTTTCCGCCACACTTGAAACACTCACGCTCGCTGTGCGGGGTGAACTTCCCTTGGCCTCCGTAGTTTCCACCCCGCGAGCTACCTCCTTTACCGCCCTGTTTGCCTCCGATCTTACCTTTCACATAGGATCCGTAAGTGGCTTGGTAACCTTTGCCTTTTCCGCCCTTGCCACCTTTACCTCCTTTGGTGAACTGTTTAGGTCTTGTGCAGTTTCTGGCTAAATGGCCCATGCCTCCACAATTGTAACACCTGGGGCCCGCTCCTTTACCTTTGCCTTTGTTTACGGCGTCAATTTCTTCATATTCTCCACCGTCACCCCCATTGGCCCAGGACCCGTAATTCCACGATCCATCTTCTGACCACCAGTTTCCATCTTCGTCAACCCATCCTGTTTGGTCCCAAACATTTTCGGATCCTTGACTCATCTCGTTGATATTCCCAATGTCCATTGCATCCTTATTTTTCGTGTCTGAGTCAAGTTTCTTTTTACGCGCCCAGTCTTCGCACTTTGAATACAATTCCTGAAATGAGTCAATGTTAAGCGCGTCGGGCGTTCGCCAACATGCCTGCTGCCATTCGTCGAACCAGTCATTCGCGTGCACCATTATGGCCCTGAGTGCGGTGACTTTAAAAGGAAGAGGCAGCGAGTAATCTTTACCATATTTCTCAATATTTTCTGCCAATGCGCTCCATTCCTCAAGTCGGGTAACGGTGTCGGTGATCTTCTTGGGCGGCTCAGAATTCATGGCATGCGTCATCTTTGATGATAAGGTCGCTCCGGTTACCGCCGAGTACCATTTGTAAACCTTTTGCCAAGCCATGATTCCATCTCCATCCATCAGTCCCTTTAACTTTCCTCTGGCTTCCGCACCTTCAAGTTTCTCGTTCAGAATGTACCATAAGTCTTCCTCCATCTGAGTTTTGTCTCCCTCGGTGAACTCATATTCGCCTTTGTTGTCGTCCTCGGCCTGTTTGGCTTGATTCGCCTTCAGGTACTCACTTGCAGTTAATCGGCCGTTCATTATGCGTATAATGTCGTCATCGCCCTCCTCTGGCACGACTCCGTCAAGCGTCTCCAGCTTCTTGTTTAGCATTTTCAGTGCCGGTCGGTAATTCGGCTTCACTTGGGCTAGTGCGTTCAAGAATTTGTCGTTCCAGTCTCTGAACTTTGCCCTTTCCCCACTGAAATTCTTTAGCGCCTGTGATGCTTTATATTCGCTTATCGGTTTACTGCTCCCGTGCTTGCTTCCGCTTCCTCCTTTAATCGCTTCCGAGGTCTGACCAAACCTTTCGATCAACTTTTCTTGTACTTCGCTGTTGGTCTCCAACTCGGTGACTCTTTCCACCAATCTGCGAGCATCCCTTTCGAGTGCAGCGTTTCTCTTTGTGATCGCTAACAGCATGCTGTTGGTCTTGTGGGCACTCTGTAACATTTGGGACGCTTCGGCGTTCGACACCTCCCTTCGATCCTGTGTCACTCGCTCGTTAATGAACGTTGCGAGTCCGAAATGGTTCGCGAGTAGCGCCGTCTGAACGTAACTGAAGTCTCCGTTCAGGTATGCTTGCTCGCACAGGTCGTTGAAGCGATTCGGGTCCATGTTGACCCATGCATCTCTGTCCGCCGGCACATTGAGATTAACTGGCGGGTCGCCCTGTCCAGGTCTGGCCGCGGCTGCCGCTGCCGCTGCCATGGCAACCGCGCTCCGCTACCATGCAAAACCCCGAGGAGGGTTCTGCACGGGAGCCTGGCGATAATGATAACGATAGGTCACCTTTATACTCCCGAACGGCAAAGCAGGTCTATGTAGCTTCGACCGTTAAACACTTGAGCCAAAGGCAGCAGGGTTGCTATTCCTCCCCTGTCACACGCACGCTTGCATGTTAACACCTCCTCCTCCTCCTCCTCCTCCTCCTCCTCCTCCCTCCTTCTCTCCTCCTCCCTCCTCCTCCCCCCCCCCTCTGAGGAGGACAGGGTGCCGATGCCGTTGCCCCTTCCCTCGCTTTGGACTTTGGGAGCCTCCTGGGAGGCCCTCTCGTCGCCGCGGTCGGGTCCTCCTCGGAGCTCTCGCCAGAGGCGCACCCTGGGGGAGGGGTCCAGGGAGGCTGAGGCTGAGGCTAAGGCAGGCTCAGGCTGAGGCAGGCTGAGGCTGAGGCCGAGGCTGCAGGCAGACTGAGGCTGAGGCTGAAGCAGGCTGAGGCTGAGGCTGAGGCCCCGTTTCTCCCGCTCATCCTGCGGTCCCCCTCCTCCTGCTCCTCCTCGAGTGCTCGGCAGCAAAATGAACAGCACCACGGGGGGGGGGGGGGGCAACTCATGGACATGAATGGAACCCTCCCAGACACCCCTCGCGGCCTTGGGGTGGCTTTCATGGGGCTCGCTGGGGCCGTCCTAGGGGCCCCAAGAGGCTCCCCAGAGGGGACTGAAAGTGATCGCTTCGAACTCCACGCCTTGGAACCCGAGGCTCACAAGGGCCCCTCCAGGAACCCTCTTGTGGCCGCCTTGGGGCCCTCCTGGGGGCTCTCCAGGAAGCTCCGAACGCTCCCCAGATGGGCACTTGAGGTCATCGCTTCGAGTTGCACGCTGTGGGGCTGGACCAGGGGCTCAATTGGGACCCCGGTGGGAACCCTGGAGGAGGATGAAGAGGAGGAGGAGGAGGAGGAGAACAAGGAGGAGGAGGGAAGGGATGATGATGATGATGATGATGATGATGATGATGATGATGATGATGATGATGATGATGCTGATGCTGATGCTGATGCTGATGCTGATGATGATGATGATGATGATGATGATGATGATGATGATGATGATGATGATGCTGATGCTGATGATGATGATGAGGAGGAGGAGGAGGAGGCCTTGCTGGGTGCCCCGAGACGCCCACAAGAGGGCACGGGAAATTGCCGCGTCGACTACTTCCGCGACACTCTTTTCTCAGTGGGGTAAGCTGTATGCGGGGGCGACAGGATGGTCATGCGCATGCACGCCGCTTTCGCGCGTCTAACAAGCGAGGAAACGAAACTTCTGTGGTGACGCGTGCGGGGATCGCCCACAGGATCTCTGCGTCGACGGTGTTCCGGCAAACGGTATCGGTGTACATATGCTCATTGGCCTCCTACCTCCCGCCCCCCCCCCTCTCCCCCTCCCCCCTTCTTCTCTTCCCATCTCTCTCCCTCCCTCCCTCCGCCACTCCGTATCTCTCTCTCTCTCTCTCTCCCCCTCTCTCTCGTTCTGCCTCTCTGTCTATCTCCCTCTTCCTCTCTCTGCTCATCCCCACCCAAAGGGGACGCGGCCTGGCCCTCGCACTTCTCGCACGCGCCCGATGCCAAGACAGCAACGCCAGGCGTAGACGATCTCACCGGTCATGAGCGCGCACACCTCTCGGGCTTGGGCCAGGGCGTGCGTGGGCCGCAGGAAACGAGACGCAACGTCAGGGGGAGACCGGCTCACGGGGGGAGACATCGAGCTGGGAGGGTCGGTGCCTGGCCGACAGATTGGGCGATAGGCCCCGTGTGCGAAAATCCGCAGGTTCCTGGGCCGGCTGGGCCATCAGGCCCCTATCGGCGATCAGTGGGCGAGCGCGTGCCGATGCAACCCCCCTGAGCACAATCCTCCCCCCCTCCCCCAGCGTGGCCCTTGGTGCGAAGAGGAGGAGGAGGAGAAGGAGGAGGATGAGGCAGACTCGATGGGGCAGGTGGCACAGAGGGAGGCACAGAGGGAGGCACAGAGGGATGGTGGCACAAGGGAAGGTGCAGAGGGATGGTAGCACATGGGAGAAGAGGAGGAGGAGGAGGAGGAGGAGGAGGAGGAGGCAGACTCGGGTTTCACAGAGGAAGGTGCAGAGGGATGGTGGCACATGGGAGAAGAGGAGATGGAGGCACAGAGGGACGGTGGCCACCAGCCGGCACCGCGGCCACGTCCAGACGGTCACCATACTAATTAAGAGCCCACGTCCTCCTCCTCCTCCTGCTCTTCCTCCTCCTCCTCCTCCTTCTCCTCCTCCTCTTTCTCCTCCTCCTCCACCTCCACTCCCCTCCCCCCCCTCCTCCTCCTCCTCCTCCTCCTCACGCGCCAGGGATCCCCCCCGCACGGACTTGCCACGATTCCCACTGGAGCGGCGTGGGGAGTCCCTTCCGTCTGGGAGGCCCCTGGGATCCAGGGAAGATCGAGAACAATCGAGGGCGGACTTCGAAGGTGCCCATGCTGCTGCCCCCAGGCCTCTCCAGGGGTTCGTTCTGATCAGGATTTCGCGGCGGATCCAGCCGCGGTGACGAGAGAAAGGCAGCGCTATCGGTGTCGTTTCCGGATCTGACATTCGGCGATTCTGCCTGCCACCCTGGAGCTCAAGACGCGAAGCAGCGGAGCAACAGGTAGCGCGCTCGGCACGACAGGGCAGGAACAACAAAGAGCGGCTCACAGGTGCGCGTCGCTTTGCGGGAGGGCGTGTGAGAGAGGGCACGGCAGCTTTGTCGATGACGAGGGTGAGGGCAGCCGTGACAGAGAGAGAGAGAGAGAGAACAATGTGGCCTTTCCTGTAAAACTTGGCTACACCAACGCACTCTTGCCTAGCGGCACTTGGCGGCACCTCAGCTACTTAGCGGCACCTGAGCTGCCCTCCTCCTCTTCCTCTTCCTCCTCCTCGCCCCCCCTCCTCTCCTCCTCCTCCTCCTCCTCCTCCTCCTCCTCCTCCTCCTCCTCCTCCTCCTCCTCCTCCTCCTCCTCCTCCTCCCCCTCTCCTCCTCCTCCTCCTCCTCCTCCTCCTCCCCCTCTCCTCCTCCCCCTCCTCTTCCCTCCTCCTCCTCCTCGTCCTCATCCTCCTCTCCCTCCTCTTCGTCCTCCTCCTCCTCCCCTCCTCCTCCTCCTCCTCCTCCCCCTCCTCCCCCCTCCTCCGCGAAGGGATAAGGAAGACGAGAGGGCGAGGCGCGGAGCATGACGGGTGCTATCCAGGCGCGGGAAGCGGCGCGAGGAGCAACAAACGGCGGCTCAGAGTGCGCAGGCTCAGAACGGGCGAGGAACCTGCAGCGGCCGCGGGCGAGGGCACGTACGCCACGAATACGTATATACCGCATAGTCCACCCTTCGGGTGATAAGGAGGCGAGGGGGGGGGACCACCGTCGCACTCGATCGATCTCACTATCGATCTCGCTATCGATCTCATTTTCGATCTCATTCGATCAATCTCACAATCGATCTGGCTATCGATCTCACACTCGATCTCACAAACGATCTCACTATCGATATCACACTCGATCTCACAATAGATATCACAATCGATCTGGCTATCGATCTCACGATCGATCTCACATTCGGTCTCACGATCGACCTCACAACCGATATCATTATCGATCTCATTCGATCGATCTCACGATCGATCTCACAATCGATCTCACATTCGGTCTCACTATCGATCTCACTATCGATATCACAATCGATCTCACAATCGATCTCACAATCGATCTGACTATCGATCTCACTATCGAACTCACTATCGAAGTCATGATCGACCTCTCGTTCGATCTCATATCGATCTCACTATCGATATCACAATCAATATCACAATCGATCTCACATTCGGTCTCACTATCGATCTCACTATCGAACTCACTATCGATCTCACTATCGATCTCACATTGGGTCTCACTATCGACCTCACTATCGATATCACAATCGATCTCACGATCGATCTCACATTCGGTCTCACTATCGATCTCACTACCGAACTCACCATCATCACCACCATCATCATCACCATCATCATCATCGTTGTCAACATCATCATCATCGTCATCATCATCATCATCATCACCATCACCGACGGGACACCGACGGGACACCGGCGGGACACCGCGGGGCCCCGGCCGCCCGGAAGGGAATCATTTGGTCCGGCCGCGCCTCAGCCACATGAGACTTTCTCTCGCCCGCCCACGCAGCTTCGCCTCGCCCGCACGCACGGCACGCACGAACACGAAACCGAAATCGATTTCCCGGTAGGGGGGCTCTCCGTTCCACTTCGATCTCACCCCCTCACCTCCGATCTACATACGTATGTGCATACTTATATGTGTATATGTATATATATATATATATAGCAGGATACACGCATACATACATACATTATACATACATACATACCTACCTACCTATCGATCTACCTACATTCATTCATTCATTCATACATACAGACAGACAGGCAGACATACACAAATACACTCATATACACATCCATCCATCCATCCATCCATCCATCCATCCATCTAGCCATGCGTACATACATACATACATACATACATACATACATACATGCGTATACACATATACATACACATATATACGTATACCTACACACATATATATAAAGACACACCGCCATGCATACATTCATATATACATGCATACATGTATACACACATGCATCCATACATACATATAGTCATGTTTACATGCATCTATACATGCATACATTATTGAATACATACATACACATACATGCATACAAACCTACCTACCTACCTACATACATACATGCATACATACATACATACATGTATGTATGCATGTTTATATATATATACACATGCAAGCATGCACGTGCCCATACACTCAGGCAGGCATACACACATGCATACATACCTACATGTATGCATCCACACATGCATGCGCGTATACATACATCCATACAAGCATACATACATACATATATGCATACACGCATACATACATACAGACATGCATACATACATGCATATATACATATCTACATACATGCATACATACGTACATTTATACACATATGCACGTATGCATACATGCGTGCGCTCACAAACATACGTACTAACACACAGTCATGCATACATACACACCTACAAACATAAAAGCAAAGCATACTATAGCCACGCGCGCTTAGGTTCTAGCCAACTCCGAAGACCTCCTCCTCCTCCTCCTCCTCCTCCTCCTCCTCCTCCTCCTCCTCCTCGTCGTGAGCTATACCCGCACCCACTCGCATGGAAGGCATGCGCAATCCCGGCGTCGACGTCGTCGTCGACGTCGTCGCCGCTGTCGTCGTCGTGGTCGCGGGTGGGGGAAGGGGAAGGAGGGAGAGAAGGCGAGGGGAGGGAGGGCGGCAGGCAGGGAAGAGGGGAGGTGACGGGAAGGAGGGAGAGCAGGAGATGGGGAGGAGATGGGGAGTGAGGGCGTCCAAGCCCTCGGGGTGCTGGTCGCACCGCTACCACCAGCCGCTGTCGCAGACCGCAAGGCTGTCGGTGAAGAAAACTGCGGGCCCACGCGAATGCGCAGCCGCCGGCGCCATCGCCTGCAGCTCCCCGCGGCGCACCGTCTGGCGGCGTCCAGCGAGATGGCCGAAGACGGCGTGCGCGACTTCGAGCACCTCGGGGTCGGCGCTGCAAGCAGCGACTCCCGTTCGCCTGAGGCGCGGCGGCTTGGAGTCGGCGCCGCCGCTGGCGTCGCCAAACAGCGCCAAGGGAGCCCCCGCCATGCCAGTGCCCAGGCGAGGCTCGCCCGATGCATCGCCGATGAAAGTCTAGTTGGCCAGGGGGCTCGGGCACGCGCGCACAAGTCACGAAGCCAGAAGCAGGGGAAGGCCGTGACTTCAGCACGCGCACTCGCGCTGAGGGAAGCGCTGAGACCTCCAGCATCTTCACCACGGCGCGCAGCGAGGACATGTCGGCGCCGAGCTGCCGCCGCTCGCCACACCAGTGCATGGACGCCTCGATCCAAAACTGCTCCTGCACCGACCCGTCGAAGGCTTCCAGGAGCAGCTGCACCGAACCGTCCGCCAGCGCGGCAGGGGAGGAGGAGGAGGAGGAGGAGGAGGAGGAGGAGGAGGAGGAGGAGGAGGAGGAGGAGGAGCGCTGCAGGGAACGTCCAGCGCTCCCAGCTGCCGTCCGGCACACCGCCTGTGGTCCAGCCACGAGGGCCTACAGGATCCCAACCGCACTCCACGAGCAGCGCCTGCAGCGCAGAGATCGGACCACGAACATGGCGGTGACGTTGACTGGGAAGTTCGTCCCGAAGTCGACCATGGGTCGGGATCCACGCTCGCTGGGCGCGCTGCCCGAAGTCCTCGTCGCGCCGCCACGCCTGGAACCAGAGGTCGAGCTGCTGGCGAGGGGGGCTTCTCGCAAGGCCCTGCGCTCCAGGACAAAGCTGCAGGGCCGCGGCGAGGCACTTCCTGCTGCCGGCCGCGGCGCTGACGGCGCCGAGCCCCTTGGCGCCCCGTGCGCCGGCCGGGAACTGGGAGCACCGCAGGCCTGGTGCCCGTGCCTCGCTGCAACCTGCGGGGGCGCCAGCTCGGGAGGAGGAGGAGGAGGAGGAGGAGGAGGAGGAGGAGGAGGAGGAGGAGGAGGAGGAGGAGGAGGGAGGAGGAGGAGGAGGAGGAGCCGCTTGCTGGCCCTCGCGGAGCCTCGGATGCGTGAGTGCCGAGGCCCAGCCTCCTTCCTCCCGGCTCCTCGAGTCGGTCGATGTGCGCCGCGGCCTGCGCCCAGGTCGACTCCGAAGCAGGGCGGGCACTCGACTGTCGTGGCCACGTGGCCTCGAGCTGCGACCGCTCGCATGCTGCGGCGCGCAAGGCCAGGGCTACTGGCGACGACGACGCTCTTCGGGGAGAGGCTGAGGCCCTCGTGCACGAAACTGCCACAGGTCTCGGCCACTGCGGCGATCTCGGCGGCCCCGACGACCGCGGACCGCACCGTACCGACCGCCTCGGACAGGTCGTCGACCAAGCTACGCGGCAGCCGAAGCCCCGTGGGCTTGGGGCCGGTGACCCGGTCCAGGATGGAGTACGCGAGGCACCTAGCAAAGCGGGGGCCCGACCGCAGGCCCGGCGCGATGGACCCGGAGGGCTGGAAAGCCAGGGGCGCCGCCCCGTCGCGGATGATCCGCGGCGCCAAACACAGCGGCAGCGCGAGGGCGAACACGGTGGGCGGGAAGCCCAACCGCAGCGCGGCGCGCCCGAGCTCGACCCAGTCCATAGAGTCGCGGGAGCCTTGACGTCCAGCATGGCGTGGGCGTGCGCGAACCCGAGCGTCCTGTACGCCTCCTCGTCGGTGGCCCTGACGAAGGCCTCGAGGACAGCGGCGTTGCCGCGCACGGCGGCGTCCCAAGGAGGAGCGGTGGCGTCGCCCCACTCCCTCATGAGTGGCTCGCGCGCCTGGCTCCACACGCGGGTGACCCTGCACAGGAGCCCTATGACGCGCTCGCCGCCCGACCTCTCTTGGCCAGTGGCTGGCCTGTGACCAGAAGAAGCTGTCAAGGCCAACATCCACTGCGCTCCCACTCGGCGTAGAGGGCGAGGAGCTCCTCAAGCGCCAGGTTGGGCAAGCGCTCGATGTCGGTGGGCTGCAACTGGTCAGCGCCACGTCCAGTGCGGGGGCGCATGCGCTTCAAGGCCTCGCGCAGCTGCGCCAGGTCCAGCTCGGGGATGACGCCCTCGCCGAGGTACCCCCGCAGCTCGTCCCAGAAGTCGTCGACGGCGTGGACGCCCTCCTGCATGGGCGCCAAGAGCGCGTGGCACGTCTTGGCCTTGTGGTCGACCAGGTCGCAGGAGTAGGAGGAGGAGGAGAAAGAGGAAGAGGATGAGGATGACGAGAAGGAGCCTCGAGCGCTCGCTCCCGCGGCATGCCTCAGAAAGGAGGAGGAGGATGAGGATGAGGATGAGGATGAGGATGAGGATGAGGAGGATGAGGAGGAGGAGGAGGAGGAGGAGGAGGAGGAGGAGGAGGAGGAGGATAAGGAACACCTTTTTGACCCCTCCTCACGCCGCCCCGCCCCGCGCCCTCCTTCTCTTCCAGCGGGGGGGGGGTGCCCCCCTTTTTGGTGGGGCAGCTGTGCCTCCCGCGCTGGACGCCCCCTTCAGCAGAAAAAAGCAGTCGAAGACCAAGAGAAGTGGAGGGCTCCTCCTCCTCCTTCTCCTCCTCCTCCTCCTCCTCCATCTCCTCCTCCTCCTCCCCTTCCCCATCCTCCTCGTCCTCGTTCTCATCCTCGTCCTCGTCCTCTTCGTCCTCGTCGTCCTCGTCGCCCGCGTCGTCGTCCTCCTCCTCCTCCTCCTCCTCCACCTCCCCCTAAGAGGGCCACAACTCCTCGGGGGTCGCCCCCAGTTTTTTTGCAGCTTGTGCTTCCTGCATGAACGCCCTCCTCCAGAGAAACCCATCGAAGACCAGACGAGGGCCACAGCTCTTCGTAGCAGGACGCGACGAAGTTCCTCGTTGCGGCCGAGCAGCACCGCTTCGTCTTTCAGCTGTCTAGCTGGCCGGTCGTAGTGAAGCCGATGCCGTGTGGCCGGCAGCGTCCTGCTGCAACGACAAACTTTAGGGGTCCGCGGCTCGACGCTCGAAGTAGGGTCAGGATCAGGAGAACGGATGGGGCAGGGAGTATTCGGGGCGTGCTTGTTCTTTTCCTCGTGGGTGCGCTACAAGCTGCTCTGTGCGGGCTGGAGGCTGTACAGCAGCAGCACCAGGGGCGCTTGTCCATAGGTTGTCTCGTGGACGATCCCGCGAGGGGGCACTGGTCTGCAGACAGGCGCCCATGACGTCGAGGCGCAGACAATCGCCTTGCAGCAGCAACAACAACCCTAGAGAGACTCACGCGATGCCGCCACGCCGGTCGCCGCCCTGCAGCACGCGGGCCTGGAAGGCTGCCGTCACGACGCCATCTCGTAGACCAACACGTAGGCGGGCATGGCCTGTCCGTCCCTGAACGTGACGATGATGCCGGGGCTCTCCGTCTTGTCCTCGGATCTCCACCCTCCCCGATCTGGGGCGATCCGGGACCAGGCCCTGCTTCCGACCCGGTCGGCCCCGATCCAGCCCAAGCCGTGGAGCAGCCTGCGACGCTGCGGCGCGAGCATCGTCGAGACCTGCACCAGCAGGACACAGAGAGCGATAGGGGGCACGAGAGCGAAGAAGAGGACAGGCGGCGGGGCAGAGTAGGCAGCTCAGCCGCCATCGGCGGTGAAATCCAAGGCGAGCCCGGGCTCACCAACATATCATGACGCATCCGATATGGACAGGCTGCCGGATCTGCCGGACCGGCGGCCAGATCGAGCCCCACGTGGACGGGCCAGGGCCTTCTCTGAGGCTCGTTCGCACGCGTTCTCGTAGCGCTCCCCCGTGCGCGAGTGCGGCTTGACCGGGGGCGGGTACATGTTGGGCTGCCCCTTCTGGGCAACCACGTGCGAACTTTGCCCCTGCAGGTCAGACTCCTGAAAAACCGGCTGGGGCTCACGATTGGAAGGATGGCTACAGCCAAGTGAACCCCAGCTCCCAGCGGGCGCGCCCGATACCCCAGCGCAGGAGAGCCCAGAATCGAATCCACAAGTCGGATCGGCGATCGAAACGGATCGGCTCGGTGGGAATCGCCAGCCAAGTCGGGCGAGGCAGGATCGGCGGAAGTCGGCAGGCAACGAAGTCCGAATCGGACTCCCGGGCCGAATCGTATATCGGACTCGAGCTCGACCGAGCTCGGATCGAAGCGAGCCGGGGGAGGCAGAGGGAGCCCCGGCGGCGCGGATCGGACCTGCGCGTGCGCAGCGCGTTGAGCCGTCCCCTGTCCCCCATGGGCGCGGCCCTGGGGCTCCACCTGGCCGACATGCCGCCCTGGAGGGGAGGCGAGGTGAGGCCGTGTCCTGCGGGCTTCGGAGGGTGCATGCCCAACTGGGGTGCTGAGGTGGCGTCGGGAGCGCCCAAGAGGGGGGGGGGGGGGCGCAAATCATGGCCCGAGGCACGTGCGCGTCCCAGGGGGGCCCAGGGGACGTGGTGAAGTAGAACAATATGACGAAAAGGGAAAATGATAATAAACACAATAATAATGTTAATAATAATAGAAACAACAATAATAATAATAATAAAACGAACAATAATAATACTGATAATAATAATAATAATAGTAATACTAATAATACTCATAATAATAATAGTATTAAATACGAATAATAAGAATCATGATAATAACCATAATCATGAAAATAAGAAGAATAATAATAAGAAGAAGAAAACGATGCGCCATGAAATCTGGGGAGGTATCATGGCCCAGGCCATGAGATCCCCCCCCAGCCATCACTCCCCTCTTGGCCGCCCCGATGGTAGGGGTCTGGATAGGGATGGGGAGGGGGAGGGGGACAGGGGCCGGTTCCCAGACCCGCGACGTCATGATTTGTTCATAGCGTCGACCCCCCAAGGTCTCGACCCATTCCCTGGGACCAGTTTTTCATCCTGGGTAGTTGTTTGACGGTCCCGAGGCCCAGTAACAGCCCCCAGAGGCCGAATATAGAGAATAGCCTTCCGCCGTACTTGGATCATGTCCCGATAGGAGTCGGTTACACGATCCTGAGCACGGGGGACGGTTCGCAAGTGGCCGCAGACCCCCCATCCCCATCCCCATCCAGACCTCCACCATCTCAGCACCCCTACTTGGGATGCACCCCTCGAAACCCGCAGGACACGGCCTGTATCCCTATCCAGGGTGACATGTGTCGGCCAACGAGGCCCAGGCCACGCCCACGGCGGCAGGGGACCCGTGAAACAGCCCTGAGCACGGGGGGCGGTCCGCAGGTGGCCGAACCAGCCTCGACCTTGTCCCTATCCCTAAGATGGGCGAGCAAGAAGCGATGACGCTCTACTCTTGTAGAGGGACGCGCCCGACTTATAAGGATAGGGACAGGTGTCGAACGGGTAGTGGCCGCAGACCTTCACCAACTCGCCCACGAGGACCGCCGCCAGCAGCACCGCGCGCAGCCGCCGCTGCGGCGGGTCGCCCGGGACGCGCACGCCGCAGGCGTACCTCGGAGGAGCGACACGACCGGCCGGGAGCTTCCCAGTGACCCCCTCGAGTTGGGAAACATCGAGACGGACGCTTTCTCGCTGTGTTCGGCCTCTGGAGGCCCTTAGAAACTGGTCCTGGGGAATGGGTCGAGAGGTCGGGGGCCCGCGTCTCGAAGCATAAAGACGTCGGATGTCTGGGACATGACCAGCCTTGAGCTTATCCCTATCCCTTCGGGTGACAAGCCTAAGGGCGATGATAGTAAGATGCGCCCTCAGAGACTGAGGGAATCCCGAAGATCAGCTTCGAGGTGAGGTGATGCCAACCACAGGGGTAGGGGTACGCTTCGAGCTGGGAGCTGGTAATAAAAAGGATGGGCCCGCAGGAGTTCTTGTTCGGCGTGCCCACGTTCGTTGTCCTCCCCCCGCTCTCTCCTGTGGTCTCGTTGCGAGTGGTCGTCCAGATCAGTGGCACGTTTTGTGCGATACCAGGAAGCCCCGCTGGTCCCAGAGAGACTGAGGCAAGCTTGGGGGAGGAACAACAACGCAGCACAAGCGGGTTCGTGTCGTGTCGACCCCAGATTTGGTTCTTGACACCGCGGCGGTCGCTCAACCTGGAATGACCAGCCGTTCCCGAAACGTCACCTCGTTCAATATCGACCGATTCTGGGTCGCCGGCGGCGTTCAGCGTTGAGCACCTTGGCGGTACGCACAAGGGGGTGGAGGGAGGGGGGAGGGCTTCTCAGAAGGAGGCCGCTTCTTCGAAGGCGCCGGCCTTACATCTATAGAGAAGGCCCGCGGCGTCTAAAAAGCAGGGGCGCTTCTAAGAAGCCCTCCCCCCTCCCCTCACCCCCCCTCTGCGCGTGGCCGAGCACTGGCGGCGGGGCCAGCGCTGGTCCACACGGCGCGAGCCTGCCGCAAACACGGGGTGTGCCGGAGGTCCCCGCGCGGAGCTCTTGCCTCGGCTCGGGCCCCCTCCCCGGCGCGCAGCGCGCGGGGGGGGGGGGGCAGCGGCAGAGGCGCGCGCCAGGGGGCTCCCTGAGCCGGCCCCGGGCATCCGCGGGGAGCTCCGAGAGTGATGCTTGCGCAAGTTTGTGCTGTTCGGAAGGGCGGGGCCCAGTCCGATGTTTGAGGCGGGCTCTCGCTGCAGACATCTCTTGGGGGCCGCGCAGCGGGGGGTAGTCATCTGGAGGGAGCGGGGGAGGCTTCTTAGAAGCACCCCTGCTTCTTAGACGGCGCGGGCCTCGTCTGCAGATGTAGAGGACCGCCGCCTTCTAAGAAACATCCTCCTTCTGAGAAGCCTCCCCCCCTCCCCCCGTACCCCCGTCTGCGCGCCGCCAGATCTCGCAGGAACTGGACCGCCGAGATCGACGCGGGGACCGTCGAAGAGCGGGCGCCAAGGCCCGAGACCTGGCAAGCGATCGAGCCTCGCGCTCCCCGGGTGCCTGTCGGAGTAGGCCGCGGAGGCGGCAAAGTAGCAGCCCCGCCCGAAGGCGCACGTCGCGGCGCGGGCCCGGTCAAAGCCGTCGCTGCAGATGTCCAGGAGGCCGTCGACCGAGCGGGTGCCGTGCCACAGCAGCCGCGCGCCGAGGAGCGGCTCCCGGCCCGCGCCGTCCAGGAAGTCGTCGCCGGACATGCGCGCCAGCACGCCGCGGAGGAGGGCCAATCTTGAGGCAACGGCGGCTCGCCCGCCCAGGGCTAACTCCGCTCAAGATCGATCTCTCGGCTTGAGGGGCAACGACGCGGGGGGACTGGCGAATCGGCGGTGGACAAACCTCCCTTTAGCAAACCTCCCCTCAGTGAAAACGGCCTGGGACCGAAGCCGACGGACCTGGACCCGCAAACATGACGGCCGCGACGCCCTCTCGCGAACCGAAAACGGCCAATTCCTCAATCGACGTGTCAGGGTAGGAGGTCCGTCCACCTCCGAGCCAAGGGGGGGGGCATCGGCCTGGAAGCGGCGAGGCATCGCCGGCAGGTCGACGGTAGGCCCCCGATAGCGACGCCGCACGTGCCCGGGCGGGGTGGGCTCTCTCGGGCCTCTATCTCGGGGATGGACAGAACCCCCTTTAGCAAAACGTGGTTTAGTGAAAACGACCTCGGGCCCAAACCCGGCGGGCGCAAGCCTGGAAAATAACGGCCACGACGCCCTCTCGAAAGCCGAAAACGGACAATTCACTAATCGACGTGTCACTGTTGGGGGTTCTGTCCAGCCCCGACTATCGCCGATCGATCGGCAATGAGGGGTCGATGCATCCCACTTGAGCCTATCCCCCCTGACCTTGCTTCTTACAGGACTCCTCCTGGGTGACTACCTACCAGACCACCCCAACCCAACCCGAAGGCCCGAATTTCGGGTTGGGGGGGGTAAGGGTTCCATATGTGCTTTTTCGATGTTCCCCGACCCCCCCCCCACTGGAAATGGAGGTCAATTTGAGGCCTTCGGGTTGGGTTGGGGTGGTTTGGTGGGTGGTGACTGGGGTCCGTCCTGACCCGTTTTTCTGGGATCCAGCCGTGGCGCAGAGAAGGCTGCACAGGGACAGCAAACACGCCACCCGAGATCCGACGGCGCGAAACAAATTCAACATCGTAAAACATCACGACTGGAAGCCTAGATCCCATCTTTCAGCTCAATTGTTCGAGCCGGATCGATGTGTCAGGGTCCTGGGCCAATGCAAAAGCGCCTGGCACGAAAAAGCGGAGATGCCAGGATCTCGGGGCCGCTGTTTCGACGAGACCAACAAGTATACCGATACCGCTACTCCCCGGACCTCTCGCGGGTGAGTTCTGACCAGGATCTCGAGGCGAATCTTGCAGTTGCGCCGAGGGCATGCCGGGAACCCCCAGCAAGAACCAGAAACGAGGCAAGGCAACAACGGTATCAGCACGCGCCGGTCGGAGAAAGTAAGTAAAAACATGAAGTAGGAAGGCGGATGAAGTAGGTCCCTCCCAGAGAATAACCAGACACAGCCACAAAAACACATCGATTCTTGAAGCAGGAAGGCGCTAGAAGTAGATTGGGATCATCCGAAAATACCCTTAGGTCGGGCATGTCCCCCTACAGGTGCGTCTTGGGTGAAAAATGAACAATACTCAAAACGCACCCCCAAATAATCAAAATTAGTCAAAGCAGTCGTCCCCTGACCATTTGTCTACTATGCTTGAATATTCCTCCTGTACAAGGACACGCCCGACTGAAAGATACCTGCTTTCAACGACCGGCGTGCACCTGTTCCTCCTCCGCTCGACGGGCCCCCCTCCGGAGATGCACTGCCGCGCGGCGGCGAAGCCGCGGAGGAGGCCCCGGTTCTGCACGCGGTAGGCGGCCACCAGCCGGCCCCGGCACGCGAGCCCGCCCGAGGCCCAGAGGGCTGGGGCAGTGCCACGGGCGGGGGGTCACCACCCCAGGATGCGGGGCAGAAGATCCACCCCGAGAATCACCACTCCGGCACGCGGAGCCGGTTCGCAAACGCGCCCCAGAGAATAATCGAGCAGGGCGGGGCTGTTTAGCAAAAGCCAAGGGCTGTTTGCAGTCAAAAACCCTAATAAGGACGCGCGGTGAGGACGCAAGACCCTTGGAAGCCGAAGTTGGGATTGTTGGGGCGGCGGACGACGAAAACCTCAAGGACGCAAGAGCAAGGAGGAGCAAGGACGCAAGGGTACCCTGAGCAAAGTCGCGCGTCCTTATTAGGGTTTTTGACTGTAGTACACGTCAAGTGTCCGGTCTGGGTGGTGTTTCCTCCCTTGACAGGAGGGGGGAGGTCGCAACGTCCTCGAGGCGCCCCGGGCCTCCAACGAACTGGCAAACCTCAAGCGGTAGGCTTCAGTCTTCGTCCTCCTCCTCCTCCTCCTCTCCTCCTCCTCCTCCTCCTCCTCCTCCTCCTCCTCCTCCTCCTCCTCATGTCCTCCTCCTCCTCCTCCTCGTGTCCTCCTGCTCCTCCTCCTCCTCCTCCTCGTGTCCTCCTGCTCCTCCCTTTATTCCTCCTCCCTCCTCCCTCCTTTTCCTCCTCCTCCTCCTCCTCCTCTTCCTCCTCCTCCTCCTCCTCTTCCTCCTCCTCCTCCTCGTGTCCTCCTCCTCCTTCTCCGCCCAGCAGGCGGTCCTGAGTGCGGGAGCGCTCCCGCCAGCGGCCGCCATGGCCCCGAGGCCGAGGACCGAGAAGAACGACGACCGGTTCGACAACGACGTGGACGCCTCCAGACGCCGAGAGGGCTCCAACAGCCCTGGACGTGGACGCAGTCGCGATCGTGTGGCGGAGAGAGAGAGGCTGTGCAGGAGACCCAGAAGTCCAAGACGACGTTGGGGGGCCCTGTGCAGCCCATGGCGCCCAACGCGGCGTAGCACCTACTGAGGCCCCTGCCCACGGGAGCAGCGGCCGCCCCCATCCTAACCTCCTGTCGCCTCATCCTCCCCTTCCCCATGGTGCGAGTTTCAGAGAGGGCTTACCCAGCCCCCTAGACGTTTCCCTTTTCTCCCCGCTGCCAGAGGCCAGAATCACACTTTGTCAGCCCTGGCCGTTCCAACTTGACTATTTCCTGCCCGAGATTCTCGAGCAGTATCTCCACCCAGCCACCAAGGAGTGGATTTCCAGTGCCCTTCCCTTCTCCCCCCACCTCCCCCCCTGTGCGTGTCTCTATCTACACGGATGGAACGGGAGGCAGTCAGGCTGCAAGCATACCAGTGGTCCCAGCGGCTGCGGTGGTTGTTGTCTATCACTATCCAGACGGGGCTTTCACCGTCGCAGGATACATCACTGCTATTGTGCCCGAGGAACTGAAAGGAGTGCTTCCAGTTCAACAGTCTTCTGATTCATCCGAACTGATGGCTGCTGTGTGGGCCCTGGCATATGTTGCCCAAGGACCCTATCCCGACGTGCCAGTTGAGTTTGTGCTTTATTCCAAGCGGACCCTCGGCGTCATCTCAGGCTCCCAGCACTTCGATTTCAAAAACTCTGTGTTATTGTTTCTCCGCTCCGTGATTCAATGGCTCGGAGACTCCAGGGACCTGTCGTTTCGTCGTGTCTCTTCTCACATTGGGGAAGGCTTCAATGAACTAGTTGGCACGATTGCACGTTCGTCTGGAATGGGTCTACTACCATGTCCACCCTACATGCCGTTCGCGAAGTATCTATTTGATGCTACCCCAGTTGCGTGGATTTGGATGCATGAGCAAGGCCTAGCCGCACAATCCCCTGAGGCTCCGCTCCCCCGAATTTCCGATGACAATTTCCTGTAGGTTCCTGATCTGTTCGTTGAAGGATACACTACAAACGACAATCTTGGAGGTGTTCGTCAGCTTTCAGGGCCTCGAGGTCCCAGACCTGGTGTCCTTGGAGGGCCCTCCAGTCTTACTATAAAAGTTGGCCTGGCGAATGTGCTTACCCTTAGGAATAATACCGACAGGTGGACCAGGACCAGTAGGAAACGAATGTCGGCCAGGACGCAAGAGCTTATTGGACTCAATGCGCCAGGCAGACTCACTATGTTGGCTAAACGGTTTTCGAAAGCTGGTTATCACATTGTCGCGACCGTCGAGACCCGTCTCCGTTCCCGCATGCCTAGCCGGGTTGGTGATTTCGCTGTCTACTATGCTGCTTGCGCTGAAGATGGTAAGGACGGCATCGCTATTTGGGTCGACGTGGACCAGCCTCTGGGGGAGGGTAGACCACCACTCCCCAAACAACGAGTGCTTATCACACACTCAGCACCAACACGTCTTCTCTTGTCCGTGCAGCTTCCAGACGCCAGATGTTTCATCTTTGCGGGCCACGGGCCCCACGAGGCAGCCAAGGAGCCCAATGCCCTGGAGAATTTGTGGACCCAATCCCAGGCTATCCTACAGCCCCTCGTCGACGGTGGGCACGTTGTGGTTTCATGCGTCGACGCCAATGCTGAAGTTGGCTCGAATACCAGTCCTCATGTTGGGGGAGTTCAGGCTGATAACGAGGGCCCCTGGGTCAATGCCTACATAGGCTTTGTTTCGAGCTCGATTTCTGTATCCCCGCCACCTCCCTGAGCCCCCCCTGGAAAAACTGGGCCAGTTCTGACGGCAAGGTTTCTAAACGTATTGGTTTTATATTGGTTCCTGGTGAGGTTTTCATCATCGGAGGCCTCTGAGGCGAAGGTTGACCGTGGAGTTGACCTCGCGAACGCCGTACACGACCACGCGCGTGCTTCGCTCAAGTTTCTTCTTCCCACGGACGAATTCACCCCCCCCCCCCATTTTCGATTGGAAGAAGCCGGTTATGGACCCCAAGCGCCTTCAGGACCCCACCGTTCGCAAGACCCTCCAGGATTTTTCAAGGGACTCTCCCGAGCACGCCGTGGCGCGTGCCTCCAGCGATGCAGCGCGCCGCCCTCGACGGCCAGCTCGCGCCGTGTTGCGGTCGGCCGCCTCCAGCCAGACAAAAACAGTTAGGGAAGAGTGGCTTCGCAAAGGCACCCTATGGGGCCACGAAACGTGTGAGGGGTGTGCCAGAATGGGTGTGGGAGGGGGAGGAGGGGGGAGGAAGGGGAGGAGGGGGAAGGAGGAGGGAACGCGGGGCGACGTCTCTTCAAAACGAGGACCCAACACCACAGGATGGTTGGGAAAGAGATAGGGAAGAGTGGCTTCGCAAAGGCACCCTATGGGGCCGGCTCGATCTCCAGAGGGCCCTCCGAGGCCGCATCG